AGGCGGGGGGAACAGCAGCTTTTGCGCCCTCCCCCGGCCTCCTTGGGGGGATTTCGGCCATTCCTGGGAGCCCGGTAACCAAACCAGGATCCTCTAGCGAATCTCCACTTGGATTTTTCTTGTGCCAAATTTCCCCTGACCATCATGGGCCTTTGGATTTTTTCCTTTTCATTTTTGACTGCCCGTGAGCGTCCCGCGGGCGCGCGCCGCCGCTGCCCGGCCTGGCCTCTCCGCTGCAGACACGTTGGTGACCGTCCCCTCCATGCACGCACACACCTGCACAGAGCTTTAACTAGGAACACGGTATTTTTTTCTTCCTTTATTTTGTGTGTGTGCGCGCGTTATGTCCTAGAAATTCATTTGCTCGGTCAGCGCTGGACTCCTGCTTTCTGTGACGTGTTCCAGGCACATTTCGTGTCACGGTCTAGCGCAGGGCTGAGCCCAAGCAAAGGGAATCCTGGTTTCTTTCCGGGCTTTGCGGGGCCCGCGGCGCTGCAGCAGGCGCTGAGGCTGAGCCGGGTTGGAGGATCCTTGTGTCATCCTCACGCATTCGGGGTCCGGCCCTCGGCCTTCCTCCCCTTCCTGCCTCTTCTGCTGCTTTTCCCTGTTCGCCCTGGTTGGAAGTGAGCGCTGAGCGGAGCCCATGGCCGGTTCTGCCCCCCTGTCACTCGCTGCCCCCGTCCCTGCTGCAGGGGGGCTCCAGCAGCCCCTTTAGAGCCAATCCGGCCCCACAGCCGGTCCCTGTGGCTGGGGTTGGTGCTGGACACCGGGTGTTGGGAACCCGATGGCAAAAGCTTTGCTACCAGCCAAGGACTCCTCATTCCTCTGCTCTCTTCTGTCATGTCGCCCTTTTATTTTGTCCTTTTGCTTTTTTTCCATTTTAAGAACCAAAGGTGCAGAGCAAGATTGTAGATTGAATATCATCGTTTCGCTTTTTAACTCAGTATTTTTTTATTATTTTAACTTTTTCATACTAAAGAGAATGTTGGGGGGGGTCAAAATAATAATAATAATGACTAGTGGGGAGTAATCACTGCCATTTCTACTTGGTCTACTTTTTTAAAATACCACTTGTTATACATTGGGACATGGAACCACACTTCAAGGACAAAACCTGTAACATATCAACATGGGGCATAGGATTTTGTAAAAAAAAAATAATAGTGATGATGCCTCTGTGTGTGGCTAGGGAAGGCCGTTGTGTAGATAGTTGTAAAATATTGTTCTAAATTATTTAGACTGATTGTCACCATTCTTGAAGTCCTCAGTTGTGTTGCTGGGTCTTTTATATGCACACGGTGTAATTTATTTAACGGAACATACACTTTCCCGGGTGGTAGCTCGGCTGTGGACTCGTGACCTGTGTATATGTTTTAAGATCTCGGGATTTGGGGGTTTTTGTTTGTTTGTTCTTTATTTTTTTGTTTGTTCTTTTATTTTATTTTTTAAATGACATTTTGGATTTGAATTGGCTCCTATCCTGCTGTTGCTATGGGACCTAAGCGTTACTGTCAGTCTGCTGTAAAGCACAGATTGCTCTATTTATTGTAGAAAGTGAGTTTATTTGCTTTCTAGAATTGTTTATATCAGATGGTATAAGAGAGGTAATTAAAAAGAAAAAAAATCTATGCTTGTAAAGAGAAAAAAAAAAAAAAAAGCTAATTTTACCTACTATAACCTGACTGTCTGAGACTATATTTTCTCTTTGAGAAATAAATGTTCTAATGTTAAAAAAAAAAAAAAAGGAATAAAAAGCAGCAGCCGTGGTGGTGTCTGTGAGGGCCGGGCAGGTGCCTTTCCCTATATCCCTGCTAAACCTCAACAGTGGCCTCAAATCCTGCTGGGATTTTAGCTGGAGGGTTCCTGCCTGCTCCTGTTGCTTCCACTGTCAGGCTGCTCCCTGGGAATGCGGCCATTGACAAGAGAGAAAACAGATAGAAAATGGCAAAAATCCCACCCTGCAGTGCCCTGCGTGGGGGGAATAACTAGAGGCAGGTGGAAATGAAGCCCTTGGCCACCACTAACACCTGCAGCTGGGTGCTAAATGCAGGTGATTCAGCTGCTCCACATGAACCACGTTTGCTCCATGGGCCATTTCCTAGCAGTGAAGGTGCAGGGAGGAGGAGCAGGAGAAGCTGCCCCAAAGCAGCTTCCTCCAGAACCCAAAGAAGCCGCCGCCGCGCGGGGGAGGAAGGCTCCGCTGCTCTTCCTCACCTCGCCGGGGAGGCTGCTTTGAACCGAGGAAGGTTTCTGCAAGTGCAAACCAGAAAAGGGGCTGCAGGGCCGGCTGCCCGGGGAGGCCTCTCCCCCGCCGCACACGGAGCTTCCCCAGGACACGAGTCGGGGCAGGTGCGGCAGTTGTCCTCTCATTTCTTTTTTAATTAGTCATGGTAAAGTACCGAGCACCAGGTCCACCTCTCGGAGCAAACAACAAAAGGCACACACAAAAATAAAGGAAAAGTCCAAATGCCCGAGAAAAACCAACTCCGGCTCCGGCCGGCGCTTCCTCGCGACGCTGCTGACAACGGGCTCTGCCGTCCCGGCTCGGCCGCTGCCTCTTCCCCTGGGAAGGGCAGGGGACAGGGTGGGAAGTGGGAGCCCTGGCAGCCTGTGGCGATGGCCAGGATCCCCTGGCTGAAGCAACCAGCCCCGTGGGACAGTGGGGTTGGATTTGGAAGCAGGAGGAGGAGAGATGAGGCCCGGCCTGGCCTGTCCCTCCTCCAGCCCCGGCGCTGGGGACACGAGCGGGGCCGGGGGCGCTCGCTGGGGCCGGGGCAGCGGCCTTGGAGCCCTTGGACCCCAAACCACAGATCTGTGACAAGTCCAAGGTGGGGAGACGACGCTCGGGCAGGAACGGCTGCAGCTCCGAGGGCTCCAAGCCCCTGTTTCCATGCGCTCCAAGGCCCCGGTGCCTGGCACAGGCACGGCAAGGAGGGGTAGGACCCCCGATGCACGTTATAAATATAAAATCATATCTGCTACAAACAGAAGACGTATATTGTACATCTTTGACCCATATACACAAGAACACCATATACACAGAACGCCTCGGGGAGCAGGGGCCGGGGGGCGGCCCCCGCGGGAAGAGTCTTGTCCGGCTGCCGCGCGTCGCTCCGGGCCCAAGAGCCGGCAGGATCC